CGAGTTCTGAGTTCTGAGTTCCGAGTTCTGAGTTCTGAGTTCTGAGTTCTGAGTTCCGAGTTCTGAGTTCCGACTCGTACCCAGTCGCTTTTCTTACTCTTTCTGTGTTTTAAACCAGTAGCGATTTATTTCACGATGATGCTTGTTGTACTCGTGTCGTTCTCATGTGTTTTACCAGCTTACACACCAGCTACGCAAGATGCTGGGTTAAATGTACAGAAACTAATTCGAGCTTACTTCCTTCAAGGTTATTCGAACTACGAAATATTGGGGTTTCTAGCTGCTGTTCACGGTGTTACGATGGGGCTTCGAACTGTAAAACGTTGGTTACAAAAAATGAATTTAAAAAGGGCTAGTCGAAGAAACGAAGCCCGACTTGAAGACATATTGTTGTTTTCAAATGAACTTGTAGAATCGTGTAAGAGTAGTGTTTCAGTTTGGGGTTTGTACAAAATCACTTCGACAAGTTTGACAGCTAAATAATAAAGTATCAGTCGAGCATTTTACTTTTATTTTACTTTTGCTCCCCTCCCCCCACGTCCCCCCACTCGGAACTCGGAACTCGGAACTCGGAACTCGGAACTCGGAACTCGGAACTCGGAACTCGGATGTATTCCATATCTCCTCGCGACCATGTATCATTCTCTATATCTAATATATTATATCTTATAGTATATCTTTATATGCTCTTAAAATGTCTATGAAATTAATCGTTTATATAGTCTCAGTAAAGTATTAATTGTTTTTATATAAAAAAGGTGCGTTTTCGGTTTATTTTTAAAAGTAGTAATGTTTTTAGTCTCTCTAATTTGTGACGGTAGACTGTTCCATGTTAGCGGAAAGGTTGAAAGAAAATTCGGTTCAGAATAATTGATCAAGAATAATTTCGCTTCAGCTATCCCTGGCAAACGTTCCTGACCTGAGACCATATCAGTCAGTTGCAAATTATGCCTGGCGTGACTTTCACTTCCTTCCCGTGCTTCAGTGAAACTCTTCATGTCAGCCCATCCCTAGCAATCGTTCTTGACCTGATAGCATATCAGTCAAATTATGCCTTGAAAACACTTCTTATCTTTAAACATTCAGTAATGATGATGACAGATCAACGTATCGGTTACGCTAGATCCACCATAAAAAGACAAAGAACGACTTGTCGCTCATTCAGTTATTTCACACAACTGAGGAGACTCGACCGTTTAAAGATATTTCCCCTCAAGAACTTGACTCGTATTTGTCAAGATTTTTGCTACCAGTTAGAAAGGAAAACGGTGAGGAATATGAACCAACAACTGACCCTACGAGGAACAGTCTAGAGTTGAACTTGAGTTGGGTTTGTCGATTGAACTTTGTATTTGGGATGTTTTCTACAATAAAATTCAATTGTTTTAAAAAAATACAGTGCTATGGTTTATATAATAAACAGAAAAATGCATGGACGCTTTAAGATATGGAATTGAACACTCAAAGATATCTTCCATATCTCCTCGCGACCATGTATCATTCTCTATATTTAACATATTATATCTTATAGACCAAATAGCGCAGCGCGGTTATTACGTCACGAAATATGATACCTTTCGCGTGACTCAGACAAACAAACCATCTCAGTAGAAGAGGAATGACTGCAATACTTCGTATCTAAATCCACTTAAAACAGCTACAAACTTGACTGAAAATGATGGAGTTCCTGG